AAGATTTGTACATTGTACAAGCGGAAGAACAATAGGACACGTAGTCCCCTCCTAGGTTCATTCACCTAAACCCAACCCACCCATCCCACCCCGGGGAAGGACATCCATCACACAGTAATCTCGTGCGTGGGAAATTAAAACCAGTATTTTCCCAAATTAATTTCAGATGGGAGGCCTTTTGGGCTACTCGGATCTGAAATTAGGTTTTCATCATTTTATGCACCTATTTTGCATAGTGATTGAATAAGAAAAGTCTTACCTCCAAATGTGAATTTTGAAGCAGGGTCCATGTTAGATAGCTGCATTATATCAGGCATAACAAAATCATCCCAGTCGGTAACTAGTATCCATCTTTGAATCTTAGTGATTTCCCGTATGTCCCTCTCTTGGATAACACTTGGCATCACGTGTGTTTCACGTGGGAAACAACTGGCGGAAACGTCTCACTCTATATAGACGGCTCTCTAATTGGAAAAAAGCAGAGTGTGAGCCCGGGAATGACCTTCAACAGTTCAGGGTCTATAGTGCTGGGACAGTTGCAGAAACTGGTTGGCGGCGAGTTTCAAAAGAATGAATCTTTCTTCGGAGATGTTACAGATGTAAATATATGGAAAATTGAATTGTCACTCAGTGCTATAGTGAAGTTGTCAGAAGGTTGCTATAGTCACATGGGTAACTTGATAAGCTGGTACGCATTTCCAACTGGGACGGAGCAGTTTGATAACGTGACAAACAGTATCTCTTCAGAATGTCTTGGGCTGAGTGAGTACACGTATTAATTAATCTAGTTTGTTACACGACTCGGGCAGTCAGAGGGCCAATAACTAAAATCAACCAGACAAAATGCTCTATTTCCGGCCAATATTGTCTCAGTATTAGACCGGGCACTTTCCCGAATGGTCCCGAATGATACCGCAGTTGTGTCCCTTTGAACTTCTGTCGTCTAATAAATCTCTTATTAACCAAGCTTGCTCGGGACCGTACTGGAAGAATATCGGCCCTCGGTCTTTTTTGTATGGACCGAGCTGCGCTCGGTCCGTACTGTCAAGACCTCGGGCCGATATTTTCCCAGTACGGCCCTCGCGCTTGGTTAATAAGATATATATCATTTTCCTATTAACAATAAGAGGGAAGATTTTAAGGAAAGTAATCAAACAAATTCCTGACTCAGTCAGCTACTAATGCATCAGTTTACCAATCACGATCAGTGAAGGTTATCAGTTAATTTGTTTTTTAAATCAATAATTCACTGGTTCTTTCGGTCAGTCAGTCAGTCAGATAAGTTAGTAAGCCAGTCAGCAAGTCAGTCTGTAAGTGAGCGAGTCAGCAGGTCAGTTAGTGAGTGAGTGAGTCAGTCAGTCAGTCAGTTAAGCAGCCAGTTGGCCAATCAGTCATTTTATATTAGTTTTTTGTTTTGTTTTGGTTTGTTTTTTTTTTTTTACTTTCAGATCCCTATTTCGGCTATGATTTGGAATTTCCAAGAAGAACCAATGAAGACTATGTTTACGGCCCGACGCTCTCAGCTCTGTCAGCTTTTACTCTGAGTTTGTTTGTGAGCTTCACAGACAATGGCGACAAAACATACTTCAACTACTACGCTGGTGTAGCTTACAATGAAATATTCATTCATGAAAGGAATAATTATTTTATAGTTCGAATAAAAGATGTAAAAAAGTAAGTACCCAAAATGTCCGTTTATACTTTAGTGCCTAATAATCAATGTGTTCGTTCATTCCAGGTGCTGTGAGTAGTCTTAAGAATTAAAAAGTTTTGTCTATCATTATAGGTATAAATTTTCTAGAGAGTGTATTCCAGAAAGCCCATATTGAACTCTATGACCATATGTAAACGTTCTACTGACTGATCATGAAATAGATATTTTGCTGACAAAATAAATCACGGTATCGCCCATAAGAAATTTGTCCGCGAGCATGCAGTTCTTACTCCAGAACACACAAGCGACCACACCATCCCTTCTCTATCAGCTCAACAACCCCCCCCCCCCACCAAAATAAAACAGTAATTGAGTGACAATATGCGATCCTATTGTTGGTTTTGGTCTCAGACAAGAGGCAAAACAATCCTAAGGGGGAGGGGGTAAAGAGAGGGCGAGCCTGGATACTGGATCCGCCCTCTAGATCTGAAATCAAATGACCTTAAGCTCTATGGGATGGTTCAGTCTCCTAACTTAAAGAACTTTTGCTTTATTTCAGGCAACATCGTTTTGCTATTACTCCGGACGGTATCTGGCACCACCTTGCCGTTACGTGGGAAAACACGAATGGTTCTTATGAGATATTCCTGGATGGTGTAACTGTTTGGAGTGGAAACGAACTAGAAAAAGGAAAAAAAATTCGTCCTGGTGGCAGCGTTGTCATAGGAAACGACCAAGACTCTATTGGTTTTCAGGCGAGAGATGCTTACGTGGGAAACATTTCACGAGTGAATCTGTGGGATCACGTGCTCCCTCGAGAAACTATTACGTTGCTTTCCCAACGCTGTGGAAAGGAAAGCGGCAATGAAGTGTCCTGGAGGGATTTTAAAGAAAGACCTTTCCATGGTGTGGTCCACATCCGCGAACCTTCGTCTTGTCAAAAGCTCCTGTGAGAAAGACAAGGCTTCAAAAAAAAATCTATAAAACTTGGAATGAGGACATGTGTACTTCGTGGGCATGAAGAAAATAAGTTTGTTAATTTTTAGTTGATAAGTGCAGGATCCGAAAATAGGAAACTTAAGCTTGGCACAAGCTGCTTTATTCTTATCGAAAAGCTATAAAGTTCGAACAGACGAGAATCCAAAAGGAGGGGGGGGGTGGGGGGTAAAATGGTTAGCCAATCCTTCCACCACAACTCCCAACACAGTTTTTAGAACGATTGCGAAACACTTGCAACAGAACATTTTTTCCCTTGAGGGTTGTAAAACTAAACCTAAAGTAATTCCAATGCTCAATTAAAACACAGTAAAGCAAAGAAAATTTCACAACGAGCCTCTGAGAACACTAAAAAAAAATATTCTAATTGCTTGGAGTTGACCGAAGCGCGGGAAAACGGAGCGATCAAGTCTTTGCAGCTGAAAGGCTGAGAAGACAACGCGATGTATACAAATCGATCATAGAACAAGGTAGAGAAAATCCAGTACAAATTCGGATCGCTCTCGATGCTCAATTTGAAATTTCTCTAAAATTTTAGCCATCGCGTGCTGCCTATAAATTTATGTGAGCGATGCACTTTTATCTCTCAGTCTGGCATTTTGAGATGTTGCTGAGTTTGTGCATGGTGGTACAGGTTTGTGCGTGGCAGGCACACCTTACACAAATAAAAATGAAATAACAAAGTGTGGGGTTAAAGACAGATTGATACAAGTCACCATATTCCCTTCTGAAAAACCTGGATTCCCCCGTGATTCTTGAAGTTAATTCTAAATTTTCAACAAAATGGCTCAGAGATTCTGGGGTCCTTGTTTTGAAAGCCAATCAATTTTTTTGGAAGTAAATGTATATTTCTGCTGTTATCATATAAGGGGAAAAATTACTGAATTGTGATTGGTCAAGACAGAGGACATATTTTTTCTTAATTTTTGTAATTGCCCCGGGCAAAATTACTTGAAAATGATTGGCTGAAAATCGCTTAGCAACGGCTGCCAAGGTAAAGAAATTTCTGTTTGTTTTGTAACGATGGCGTCCCGTTTTGCGCGAGATCAGTAAGAAAATATTTTGCCCCTTATATTATAAACAAGTAATCACATGGTTCCTCGTAAAATTAAGGATTAATGTTGAGGCTATTCCTCAACAAGGTTTTATGTTAGTCCGTTCCGTTCCTCCTTCTTTTTGTATGTCAGTAGACCACAATCCTTCAGTGGTCATTTTTTATTTTGGAGCCCTTTACGCACGTGGAAAAGCGCTTGTGAATGAGTTAGGTACGTAAAAACTGTTTTCTTTTCTTTCGTTTACCGCCTTTCATCATGTGGTTTTTACGGCTCCCTGAGCCTCGTAATTTATGATGAAAGGGCGACCGGATGGTTTTGTAAACATTGGAATTCTTCGCCGTCATTAAATTCGTTGGGTTAATCAGTTGTTCTGTTGTTATTCGACACCGACGCCGCTATATGTGTCCGACCCGGACAATTAATATCACTTGTGTTTTCGGAAGTTGCAGAAATTGCCCTCGTCATTGCGTGACTCGGGCAATTTCAGCAACTTCCGCAAACGTGCGTGATATTAATCCTTAATTTTACTCGGCCCCATGCGATTACCTATACTAATCACCTCAGCTAACACCTCATTGAGTCGTAGTATAAAACACTAACGATAAATAACGAGATATTTACCCCCTCTTTCTCCCACTGTTTCTCTACAAAGATGACCACCCTTATCTCCAAGAATGTTATGTTGATTCATTCTATTACAAATCAGCAATTGTGGTTTCCAAACATTGTTGTCGAACGAGAACTCAAACATTTTAACACTGGCATAATTCTTTTCAGACTGTGATTGAAGTTGCAGCGATTAAACTGTCACAATTTGAAATCAAATACCCCCTTTAATTAATATTCTAAGGAAAATTTTTTTCCTGGGACACTATTCAATGGTAATTATTATGCAGCTGACAGACACTTCTTCATGAGAGTTTTAGTGCAGCACCCATTGCCTTGATGGCAGCGAATGTCTCCATACCAGTTGGTATGATCTGATTGGCTGGCAATGCAAACCCATATTGTCCCTTGTCTCTTAGTTCCAAGGCAAATGAGTACTTGACACCGAGGACCCCATAAGCCCAGTCCTTTGTGGATCCTGAATTTGCGTCTGAAAAAAGGAAAAAAACAAAAAAAGTAATACATATTGAATTCAATTGAATTTCTGATTAATTGATTGAGTGATAACTTTATCTTTACATGGTTAAAATTCCTTCAGCATGAAGTAAAGCTTCTAATTCTCCCTAACTAATAAATAAAATACAACGTATCATGTCCTAAGGCTGCTCTACAAGGATGCAGTGTCTCATTTAAAGCAGCAATGACGTGGTTTCGTTTGAATTCATTTAAGGAAGCTTAAAGAACTCAGATCTTAGAATAGGTTGTTCTACACCTCAGCATCTTTGTATGAGAAACTACTTCCTATATAATTGGAAGGTGGCTTTTGAAGAGCCAATTTTACGAATTATTGAACCAGTCAATAGACTATTCATTCCACTAATCTTTTCTCGTTGCCATGTTCGCACCATTAACGTAGCTCCATTCTCTGCCTTTAAAAGCACACACAACCCACAATTTCTCTATTCGCTCCGACGAAGGGCTAACGCTCGAAACGTCAGCTTTTGTAATCGTTACGGTGGCCAATTTACCACTTCAACTTTGTTGATATATCCAAATTATTTCGTTACTCCCACCGACGCAGCCCCAAACAGTTTCTTTCGAAACTATCAGCCTTTATTCA